GTTCTGCTCTGATATGTAAAGGGTCACCACGAGTTGGAGTTGACTCAAAGGCAAATTATTATTATTTTTTTAATAACTACTTATAGTACTCTTTTTTCCTTTTAGAATACAGTGGAGCCAGTGTTGCTCTCCATGAAGATGAGTGCTGGGAATAAAGCCATTTGGGACTTGACATTTTTTCCATCCTGAACATAAATGCAGTATGGATTACTCTGAAGTGGGGAATTCCCTCATTTTGTCAAATAAATTGATGACAACAGCATCAGCTGGATCATCTCCACAGAGTGAGGGATGTGGATTACACACAAAATGCACAAGAGCTATGTAAGTATTTGAATTGTCACACAATATTTAAACTCTAGTTGTTTTTCTCTTGCATGAGTTCTTTAGAAATCCAAATAGCCAAGAAATTGTGTCTAATTCAACAATATCATCCCATTCCCTAATGTTTCTTATATTGTAAATACTCAATAAATGATGTTGAGTGAATGAGTACATGCAGGCCTTAAATTCACATCCATCTGTGTAGGTTCTGCTGAGTCTCTTATAGAAGCCTGCTTTGCCTTAAGAAGAAAAAAAAAGACTTGCAACCTCCAAAGGGACAAGGTAAAGTGGCTGCTCTGACTAGCTCCCTGGGGAAGCATTTAACTCTGTGGGTCTTAGATTCACCATCTATAATATGAAGGAGCTGGACTAGCTTATGTCTAAGGTATGCTTCAGCTCTTTAAGGCTAAATTGTGGGAAATAAGCCAAACACCTCAACACCCTCTATGATGTCAGAAGGAAAGCATCCCCTCTGTGAAGAGCAAGACTGAGAATCTTGTTAGCTAAGACATTGTCATGTGAACCAAAAACCAGTCCATGGAGACATTGATTACCCATATTTTTGTTACACTCAATTTTTAGGAAAACTGGAAATATGTTAGGGACAAGCACAAATTCAGACCTTTATTTTATTCATCTGCATATATCCCCTAAACAAACAAACAAAAACCTGAAAGTGAAAACAATGGCCCTAGAGCATTGAGAATGCCTCGGTTTTCAAGGGAAGAGTTAATATTACATGAAGTTCATGCTACACTAGCTTTAAATTAATAAGGTAGACAACTGTGTTAACTTCAAATGACAATCAGGTTTTTTTTTTTTCATTCCAAATATGTTTAAAAAAAAAAAAACACTGCCGTCGAGTCGGTTCCGATTCACAGCGACCCATCCTTGGGTTTCTGAGGCAGTATCTCTATGAAAGTAGATCGCCCAGTCTTCCTTCCGAGGAGTGACTGGTGGGTTTGAACCGCCAGGCTTCTGGTTACCTGTCAAATGCCTTAGGCACTACACCACCAGAGCTCCCCAAATATATGTTACCATATGTCGTAGTTAAGGTTGTGTGTCAACTTGGCTAGGCCTGGTTGAGTGGCTGGGCAGCTGCGTATAGTATTCCCCATGATGAGACTGACAATCAACTCCATGGTGGGATCTACCACAAGCAGCTGAGCAGCTGCTTTAGGTGTGTGGTCTGCTTCTCATATATAAGAAGCAGCTTTGTGAATTGTCTCTAGTTTACAGCATGATTGAACCCTACATGTAGCCATGTTGTTGTTTAGCAGCCTGCCATGCTCTGCTGACCCTGGGACTTTCAACGGACTTGAATTATTGGCCTGCCGTGTGATTTGGTAACATCAAGACTGTGCCTTTTTATTTGTCAACCTTGGGCTTGTCAGTCTCAGCAGCCAGCAGCTATCTGAGTGAAGAGATGCCTGTAGCTCCAGTGGGCCAGAAGCAGGAGGCAGGGCTGAAGCCCCAGGTTGAGGGGCTTTCACCCAGCCCCTAGAGCCTGGCACTTTGAACTTGGACTTAAGCCTCCAAACTGTAATAGAATAACCTCCTGTTTGTTAAAGCCATCCCATTTGTGGTATATTCCTCTCAGAGAGGCACTAGGTAACCAAAACACCCTATAAAATCAGAGATAGCCAAAATAAAATTCTAGATGTCACCCTCTAGTGGCAAAAATGAATCATTGCTAAATAGCTGTTTTGTCCTGAGCAAACAGTAAACACACATACAAATAAACAGTTACTTGTCGAATCAACCCCAATGCCTAATTTTTTGGACGTGTATCACCACATTTTTATTCCCAGGCACTTCTGGGTGGACTCAAATCTCCAACCTTTTGGTTAGCAGGGCAAATAGGTGTTGTTGTACTGTTGGCAGGTACTGCCGAGTCAGTTGTGACTCATAATGACCTTCTACATAACAGAATGAAACATGGCCTAGCAAATAGTAGCTGCCATTTATTGGGGACTTATTACATTTCAAGAGGTCCCTAGGTGTTGCAAATGGTTTATGCGAGCTTATTGACAGAAATGGTTGGCAATTCAAACCCGCTCAGCAGCATCATGGAGGAAAAGCCCGGCAATGCTTCCATAAAGATTACAGCCAAGAAAACCCTAAGTAACGATTCTCTTTTGTAACAACACATGGGGAGTCTGTGAGTCAGAATCAACTTGACAACAACTGGTTTGTTTTTGTTTTTTTTATTACATTTCAAGGACTGGCCTCAGTTTTTATATGGTAATAAGATAAATGATTTAAGAAAGGTAGCTTTCAATGTCATGGAGAAAGCTAGAAGTCTTTGAGTTCACAAAGCCCAAGCTACACCTTACTATTTATTTCACTGGCTGTGTTTTCACCCCCAGTATGTTCCTGAACACTTGGGGTGGCATCTAATCCTATTACATTTTCCCATACCTTCTTTGGACCTTCTTGGAGTTCTGAGTGGTGCTTGAGAATTTCTGTAACTCATACTTCTTCATTATTTTCAGCTCAGAACCTCTAATTCCAGGTTGTCCAAATGAAGAGAGAAAAGAAGCAAGGAAGCAAACCAAAGAAACAAAGAAACAAAAATGGAAATGGATGAAATCATAAGCCCAAACCTTGTCAAATCTCCAGAAGTCCAGGGATCTTTTAATTCAAATAAAATTACTTAACATTCATAGTTTGAAAGGTATTTAATGAATAGCAAAAACACATATTTACATGGTTACAATTTGTCTTTTTCAGTAATCTCACCCTTCTCAGATTTTCTAAGTTTCCTATGTGTATACAGAGTGAGTTTCTGAACTTGGCCCTGTACTTGATATCTTCTGTACTTGGAATCTAATCAAATTAGTGCCCATTTCTCAAAAGGAATCACTCCATATTGTCAAAGCCTTTTACAAGCCTAGGCCTAAGGATACAAAATTATTCATATATTCTGTTTATAAATGTCCATTCCCTTCTTTAGAGAGCCCAACAGCCCAGCAGTATTCATGTAGAGTGATCCCTCCTCAGGACATACAAACTCAAATGCTTACTAGCTAGTCGGTCACAGCTCTTCTGTGAGAATTCAGGCTCAAGGTAGCAGATCCTCCAAACTGTTAAAGGAAGCCAGAATACCAGAATTCTATGAAGAAACTTCCTAGTTTTCAGATTTTAAAAATGGAACATCAAAAAAAAAAAAAAAAAATCAAATCAAAATAGGTGTGAAACACAGTCTAGGACAAACAAAACAGGTTTTCTGCCCAGGTGGATGCCTTGAGCTAGTTTTGGGTTTCTGCCCTCGGGAGCTTTGGTGATTCAAACCATCCCGAGGAGACACAGCCTTGAGCAGGCTTGCAGGACTATGAGAAAGTCTCAAAGAGGCAAGTTGCTTGCTGTTTCTGACGCAGATATTCACTATTATTGCAGATAGCTCTTGAAGGCAAGCAGGATACAAGCTTATTTGCGAATTTCTCTTATTTGGCACTATCCCATTATTTGGATATTCCTAAAAGTTTCCAAGAATGTGAGATTTTGTGATGTCTGGTGTAAAATTTTTCTTTACTCTCCTGGTAGCCATCCAAAGTCATTCCTTTTTCCTTGTGGCCATCAAAACTCGACCTTCACTAAAACCCGTACTGGTTTTGTGGCTTAGGTGATGATATCTCCAATAGGGACTGTGAAGTCTTCAGAAAGACAGAGGAACACACGAATTAAAATATAGCCCAGTTTTGAAATGGGGCCAAAGCATCATTGCAGTTTTAGCAGTATGATTATCAAAGGTTGACTTGATAATCTCACATCTTTCATAACTCATGGAGGAAAAGGAAGACTTGACTGGGTTTTCTTTATTTGGGAGTAGATTTGCTCTTTGTCTGTGTGGCTTCAGAACTCCTTAGGCACTATGCCACCAGAGCTCCCATTAAATCTCTTCTACTTTGTATTAATTTAAAATGTATACAGACAATCCCCAAATTACAAATGAGTTCCATTCCTAAGTCTGCCTTTCAGTTGAATTTGTACATAAGTCAGAACAGTTAGGTATGGTTTGTATCTCATGTTAGTTAGTCAAATGTCAGTCTTAGTATATAGTATATAGTCTATCTTTCTATGCATAACAACTTCAAATGAGCACTTCCAGATACACTAAAACATCTTTAACATAATAATGCAGTAATAATAATTTTTTAATATGTACCTCAAACTAATACTCATTTGCTATTACAAACCATTGTACAGATCTCCAATTTTTAGTGCAATAAATAGGCTTTAAAGTGGTTGGTTTGTAACTACAGGTTGTATGTAAGTCAGACATTCATAATGCAAAACTGCCTGTACTTTTAAAATAAATGCTATAATCACTACCTTCCACCCAAAACTTTCTTGACTCCAGAGTTGTCCTACATCAATATAGATAAAAAGCCACAGGTACTTGGACTCCTCAGTGGGGGGAAAAATGTGTAGGGGAAGTTTTGCACTTTCTAGGAGGAAGAGCTGTGTCCAGTGGAAAAAGGCCTTGTTGAAGCTTCAATGGGAGATGAGGGAGGCTGGGAGTCACCACTCAGTGTGCCTAGGCCAGCTGTTAGAATATCAACAGACCAACTATGCTATAAACAGTGAGACTTTAAAAGGTACAGGTTTAGCAACTTAATGGTTTTCAGCTTGATGGTATTGTGGGAGTTTTACTCCTTTTATCATCAATTTCTTTAAAAGACGAATGGGATAAGGGCTTTCCGAGATTTGGGATAGTCCTTAAACATCCTGAGGTAGAACCTAAAAGACAGGAAAGGAATGATTACAAATGAAGTCAAGCTGTGGTCAAGAGTTGTGTATTACATACACAATCCTGAAATAACAGTAATAACAATAATCTATGAGTGGATACATAGACACTCAAGCTGAACAGGAGTGATAAGGCAAATGAGACTACACCCACTAATGCATATAGGTTTGAAAGAGAATATCTCTATCTATCTATCTATATATTTATTTACATGTGCTGCAAATATATCCATGAATACAACAGAGCATACAGGGGACAAAGTCATGAAAACCTCTTATCCATAAGTAAACACCTTGAGGGAATGAGTTGCTGGGCATGAGGGCTCAAGACCATAGTCTCAGGGGACACTAAGGTCAATTGGCATAACACAGTCCACAAAGACAATGTTCTACATCCTACTTTGGTGAGTAGCAATTGGAGTCTTAAAAGCTTGTGAGTGGTCATATCAGGTGCAACTATTGGTCTTTCTCAGTCCAAAGTAAAGAAAATCAAAGATTCAGGGAAACAATTAGTTCAAAGGACTAACGGACCATGCCTCCATGACTCTGAGACCAGAAGAACAAGATGGTGCTTGGCTACCACTGTTGACCACTCTGAAAGGGATCACAACAGGAGGTCCCAGCTTGTTAAGTGCCGTCAAGTCAGACCCAACTCATCATGACCCCTCCTTGGGTTTCCGAGGTAGTATCATTACGGAAGTAGATTGCCCAACCTTCCTTCTGAGGAGTGGCTGGTGGGTTTGAACCGCTTTTATTTATTTATTTATTTAATAATTTTGAGATTAGTTCCACGTTTTTCTCCCACTCTAGCTGGGACTGCCAGCTACAGTGGGAGAAAAATGTGGAACTAATCTCAAAAAAAAAAAAAAAAAAAAGACCAGGCTTTCTGGTCTGATGAATGAAGACTGGTAGACTCTCAGGCGGGAACTGAACTCAACCCTCATGGCTCTACTTTCAGCCAAATGATAGGAGAAATAAAAAAAGAAGAAGAGTTGAGTTTTGATGTCTCTAACATCCTTGTTACAAGCCAACCAATAGTTAGTTACTCGGGTCATGATGGTTATTTGTCCATTTTCTTTCTCCCTCGTACAGACTATCTCTTCAAGAATCTTAATTCCATGGTGAATTAATAAAATGTAATAACTAAAAAGAATCTCCCATTTGGATGGAGCTGAGAAATACAGAGACACAGAGAGAGACTCCAAAGATTATGGATAAGGTTAGCTCTAGAGAAAGTGACAGTTTCCCAGCAAAATACCCCTTTCTTAGGCCTGAGCATGTCAAGAGGAACATTACCTGGTAAAAAGTCTGTCTCTCTGAGTTACTTTGGTCCCCTTCATTAACTAAAGCTGGTAGCCCTCAAGTTATAATCAAGATGATAAAGTATCTTAGTCTGAATTGAAGGACAAATAATACATTACAAGTGGTGGCTGCTTTTGGCATGATATGACAGGACTGGTGAGCTGCCCTTGCTCATGTAGCCTCTCTTGTGTGTGCCTGGCCACCTTTGTTAAAGTAATTACAAAGCTCAAATCACACTATTGAAAAAAAAAAAAAAAAGATGCCCTTTGGGGCAGTCTGATGTAATTGGATAGAGTCTTATTTTGGGATTGTTGTTGCTTCACCATCTGGAAACTTCTGGTGGAATCTCCACCCTCCCTGACCAAGCACAAGTGACCCTGCACTTGTCTGGGTCTCCATCTGCTAGGACTATGCTGTCTCTTCCCCCACTTCCTCTCTGCCTTTGGTGGGCAACAAACCCTGCCCAAGGTGGTGGTTGTTGTTGTTGTTATGTGCTGTCGAGTCCCACCAACTCATAGCCACCCCTCCTTGGGTTTCTGAGACAGTATCACTACGGAAGTAGATTGCCCAATCTTCCTTCCGAGAAAGAGATAGCCAGGCTACCTGGAAGGGAGCGGCTGGTGGATTAGAACCGCCAGCCTTGGGTGTGGCAGGTGACTGCCTTAGGCCTGAGGCCAACCCCTAGGGCCCTGCCTGAGGTAGTGAGAACAATTACCCTTACTCTATTATAGGCTAGGGACCCTCTTCTTTCCCACCAGGTATAGGGTGGTGGCAGAATTTGGCCGTGAGGAGAGGTGGTGTTTTGTTCATTTCTGACAGGTCTGTGTTTCTGAGTAAAGTCTACTCCAAGGAAAAGAATCTACTCTTAATTTAACCTTACAAACTACAAAATTAGCCATAAGCCAGACTAAAACACCTAGATAGGCGGCAAGGGTTCCCCTAGCCTCTAGTTCCAAAGGCATTGCCTTTTTGGGTATTCCCCGCTCTCTGTCTCCAGTGAAAACAGGCTTCTTCTTTCCTACAGTGGCAAAAAAACATATTAGGGAAAGGATCTGAAGTTCACGCTTGAATTTAAAGCCTGATAAAAACTTACTTAGTATGTAGCCTTTTCCTTCCAGGCATGTTGTTGTTGTTGTTATGTGCCGTCTAGTCCGCCCGGGCTCATAGCGACCCCTCCTTGGGTTTCCAAGGCAGTATCACTGCGGAAGTAGATAGCCCAATCTTCCTTTCCAGGAGTGGCTGGTGAGTTTGAACCTCCAGCCTTCTGGTTAGCAGTCAA